AGGACCAACTTTTCTTTCAATGTCATTAAGGCTTATATAAAAGTATATTCAGATATAATGCAGTATTTTATTGTTTATGTATCGAGTGTCGAAGTAAAACTAAATATAGTTGAGTCATTACGATCATTTGTTTACTATTATACGTGATATATGTTGTAGAGGTTAACAAACCAAAACACAATATTATAGCAAATTATCACACTTTGATATGAAGTTTATTGGCATTTTAATACGATACTTTTAAACTAGATATTTAGAAAAAAAAACTAAATGAAAAAACTATATGGTAAAATAAATTTTTGCTATCTTTATTATTATATCTATATTAATATAATAAAGCGTAAACACAAACAACTTCGTGGCGTAGGATGTCATCTATTACAGCATATTTTTGAATAATTCACTCTTTACAAAACCCTTCCCTAAGGACACGCTTTAAGCTACATATGTATTTTCACGCTATTAAACTTAGGGAGGAAATAAGGTGAAAAAAAACCTTCATGTGGGAAATGAAACATAAACTATAAGCTGCCAACATTAAGGAAGAAAGGTTATTATAGTTACGGAAATTTTTACATTTACAAATAAACAAAAAAATATAGTTTATATAATTTCATGCAGATGAAGCCGCACGGCAACAGCTAGTAGTTGAAATAAAATTTAATATAATGCTGAGGTAAATGTTGTGTAATATAAAATAAATCAATCAAAACAATTGTTATCATTAGTTGTATGTAAATAAAATATTTTGTAATAATACTATGGATTGTATTGATTTAAGTACAGATTGTAAAAAAAAATCACAATTATGACCCACCAACATTCAAAACTTGTACAAAAATGTCAATATGTTTCGTGCAGTTGTTTCTGCAATGGAAACCTAAAGTATTTGTTGCCAGTTTCTCCCAAATTAGAATAAAACCACAAACACTTGACACTGGCCCAATCCGCTGTGGGAGAGCCATAAACAAGAAATAGATAGATAAACCTTAAGAAACACGTTTCTTTATTATTTCTTTAATACTTGGTTACTCCGAAATACTTTGTGGTTCACTTACAAATAAACGCATATAAAGGTAAACTAAGAAATAAACTGAGAATAAGAAAATATTAGTACAAATTTTGCTTATACTCAGTTTATTTCTAACTTTCACTTTATACCGCGTTTATCTTAAAGCCGTTATTGTTTAAGGCTCAGTAGCAGGGAACAATACAAAAACAGAATAAGAAAATAGATATCTCGTAATATTGTAATGGTTTTGGTTAATTTCTCAATGTTCACGTATATATAAAAAAAATTTCGTCCATAACTTGGCGGAGGCATTAATTGCCATGGTCGAGACTCCAGATGAATAAAAACTTGATTTTGACTAATATCCTCTATTATCATGAAATATCGTATTTGTTCTACCCCAACACCGTATAATGTTGTAATATTTTCTACAAATAAAAATCACTTTTATTAACATTACTCAATGGGGATGTTTCCTAATGTTACAAATTCAAATAAAGTTATGTTTAATATTTTAAAGACAGTATTTTAAAACCTATAATAACATTTGGAGACCTCAAATGTTTGTCTCCATTGAAGTATAAATTAAAAACGCTGCAATATTTTTTACCCTCCATTACTCTATCTCAAACACCAATCAGAGCTCGGTGACGTAGCTTCTTCGCAAACAACATGGCAGTGTGACCAGCTTCAGTGAATGTCAGTGTATTTTGTAGTTATAATTTATTAATTAATTATTAATTACGTCTGGTCACTTTGAATAACTTTGACAGACCGCGACGCGAGGTTTGTTAGCAAAGAAGTGACGTCATGTCATGAGGCGTTTTCGCGGTCTTTCGAGAAGTTGTTTTTATTTAAGTGTTTTTGTAATTAAATGTTGCGTATATGATTTTATTATATTTTTTTTTTTGTTTAGATATGGTTTATCTACATAATAAAAGCAATTCCAAAAATTAGGAAACATCCCCATTGTCTACATTATTACTAAATATTTTTTCTATTACATTGGATTATATTAGATTTACAAGCTTTGACCTTACATCTAATAATACATTCATATTTCGATTATTAACTGTTGCTATTAATAATTGGATTATATACTAATTTCTCACTTATTTCTAAGTAAGTTCTGATTTCACAATAACATCAGTAATTTGTCCACAATCACTTTTATTGTCACAATATCACTGTTTTCAGTCTTCGATTTATTGCTCTTTAAAATATTTATTAGGCACTTCAATACCGAATTTCTCTTTTAAATACACTCGAAAATTCAACAAATCCGCTTTATTCGAGATTCAAAAATAATTATTTATTAATTTTAAAGAACGAAAGAACTGCTTTCGCTAGTTGTTTTCATTCAATCGTTCGTTCCATTCTTCGTTCAGTTGCGATGTCGGTGTAGTGCTATCTCTTTCTAGACGCAATCGTATTTTACAGTTCCAATTTTAAATGTTTAACGCTAATTCTTAATTTATCAAAATAAGCTATTTCGTGTAATTATTTGTTTACGAGGAATTAAATTTGTTGACTTATGTTTGGCGATGTTGATCCTGGCTCTTCAACACCACTAAACTCTTCTTGTGAAGAGGTTGAGCCTGCCAGCGAGATGTAAGTCGACAGTCTGAAACAAGTATTATAATATCCTGATTAGTCATCATCATCATCATCATCATCATCATCATCACCAGCTCACTATACGTCCCCACCGAGGCTCGGAGCCTACCCTAATAAGGGGTGACTAGCCATAATCAACCACGCTGGCCCAGTGCGTGTTAGTTGACATTAGTAATAAATACAAACCAATAATTGAAAGGTATAGACGAAAATGTCAGTTTTTACTTCGACCAATAATTACTTACAGTACCATACTAATTAAATAAAAAAAAATATAACGAACAATTTACTTCTACTATTCTCATATAACAAGAACCAAAAATACTCTAAATTCTGAACATTTTAAATAACAATTACGTTACTAAACTATAAAATAAACAGAGAGACTAGATTCGCAGTTCTCTATATTTCTCTTTCTACCAAATCAGAAACCGACGGAGTTCTTTTTCTTCAGTGAGAAGCAAATACGGATTTATAATGTGAGTGAGCGAGACAGACTAACGAAACCCGATGAAGTTGTACAAAGATTAATGTGTAGGTATCGTTCGTAGATGAGACGCAAATATGGCATGTCGTAATGAGTAAGCGAGACAAACTGTACTCGTATCTGCTGGAATAGACGTTGTACTTAACCACTAGTTGTTCCCGTATGACTTCATCCTCATGAAATTATGATTAAAATTATTATCCGCATAAACGTTTTATTGTCTAGTCATCAATTACAAATGTCAAAATGAAATGACATGACAACCTTGCTTCCTTGTTGTTGGCAGCAACTTATAATCTCTTTCCCACATTAGGGTTTTTATCCAAAGTATTTACCCCCGAATTTTAATGGAGTTAAATTATAAAGCCTAAAGCGTGACGCACGTGTAGGGTTTTATACTAAAAATAATTATTCAAAAATATGCTGTAATTGCTGACATCGTAGGCAACAAAGAAGTCTGTGTTTACGCATTATTATAATAGTATAGATTCTGAGATTAGACGAAAGTTATACTACCCAAGTCTACTTCATATCTAGGGTATATATTTTCAAACTACCCACGTATTTACTTGTCTACGAATTACATTACAATTTTGTGGTAATTATTTTAAACCTGCCTTTTTCTCAAGAGGTAAGTCGTCCTCGTCGGCGTCTGTTTGATTTTCAGCAGCCATTCTAGAATGTTTTGCTCTACTAGTAATCAATTCAATTTACTTATTGGAGAATAAACGCACGAAAGTATGTTTAGGCCAATCTAGACAACTGTAGTATTGATGTGTCTAGACCAGTAATTGCCTGATTGGTGCAAGTTGACACCATGAGGAATTTTAAACGATCACAGTACAAAGTTCTAACAAGCAAATTTTAAGTCGATTAGAATAAAAAATTGTGAATCTTTGGTCTATAGCTATATCTTGCAAGTAATATATTTCATTATATTAATATTTATAAACTAACTAGCTTTGGCGCGCGACTCCGTTCGCGTGTAATTAAATAACAAAATTGAGTAACCTATGTCTTCTAGGCTATCCTCTACATCTGTACCATTTCATCGAAATTAGTTCAGCCGTTTAGGCTTCAAACTCTAACAAACATCCATCCATCCATTCATCTATACTTTCGCATTTATAGTATTAGTATGATGGAATAGGGTTATAAAGAAAACACAGCAAAATCAATATAAATTTATTGGTTCTCAGAAAAAAAACATAATCATAAATTATACTAAAAATTATTAATAACTTATACCTAAATCGCCTATTTATTAAATTGGTCTTGTATTAGATGTATTCATTTTTAATGTTTGACAAATATTAATACGTTATTTAATAAATTATTTATTTTTTGAAATATATATTTGATATGTACTTTTTTCTTGGTGAAAAATATATTCGAAGAAATACTGAATGCTAAACTTAATAGTAAAAAAAGTTTTAGGTCCTGGAGACGTTAAGCGACATGTAAAAGGAAGTTAAACTTATTATATTCAAATATCTTGGCTTGCTCAGTGGCTCCCCCTAGTACGCTACACCTAACATCATGTTTTAAAAAAATATCAATAAAATTATGGTAAAAAAATGAAAAAAGAGTAGTATATATATAACAATAGAAAAAAAGGAACTCATTAATGTAATAAGGATTACGCAACCAAAAAAAAAAGAAAAGAGAAAAATACATAAGCTGAAAAAGAATACGCACCAAGAGTCTGTATATGTTAAATAAAAAAATAAAAAAACATAATATTCTAATTGTTATGTGCAATATTCTAAGCAATCAAGATATTTGACTTCAATACCAACATTTTAATAGTTACTGCAATATTTTACTAAGGTTGTCAACATTGTACATTTTCATATAAGGTAGAGGATCAAAAAAACGCAGTGATAAAATTATACACATTTTAATATGTGTTTGTTCATCACAGTTCATCAGTTTTACAATGACTATGTCATTATATAACAATAAATAAAAAAACAATATCTCCGTATAATCCGTATCTCCGTATAACAATCCCGTTAAATAACATCAAATATTTCAATTTTTCCCTTCAATACAACATACTTTTAAATCAAATATACTTCAATAATATTGGGTGGGATCAGTATATAAATAAATGGCGAGTTCGTTTACAAATAATTACCTAAATTAAAATAATAACTAACCTATAGCTGTCAAATGTTATACTGTCAAAAGACCTACAGATAAAAAATAGATCATTCGTGCGAAAAGTCTTTTAAAAATGATTTTCTAAATTTCAAAAATTTAAGAATTCTATTTTTTTGTCTTGGAATGTTCGTTAAACTTTTATAAAAAAAATTATAAGGCAGTAGTGTTACAATATGCGCTTATTTTTTAATTCCCGCCTTTTTAAACGTAAAAATGACATTGACAGATGCAGTCGACCTCAACCCTCAGTATTGTGACAGCTTCATCAGTCTTCATCACGCTTTCACGTCCAGATCGTATTTCTTTTCATTGGCATTCCTAAAAATATTCAAATTGAAAAACTTTAACCTAACCAAAAAAAACTAAAAAAAGTATTCGTTAAACCTTACACCAAAAGTTAAATTAGTAATTTTGTGAAGAGACGTACAAAAAACAAAAGACTAATTTACAAATTACGATACAAAAAAACATTATACAGGTTAAAAAAAAACGAAAAGTTAGTAATAGTGGTATTAAGATATCGAAAAGTAGAGGCATTAGATAAAATAGACTAAAGTTTAGTAAGGCTCGTTAAGTTGAGAACTAATTTTTTTTCTTTGTTACAGCATACATACCAAAAATTGACCATAAAGTATTCCCTTCCTTCACCACTGGACGTCATATTCGAACCCTCGTCACTACTGTCAACAATCATAAATTCCTGGCCCTCTCTGAAAATATCAACCACAAATATGTTTCCTTTACCATTTTTGTTATAAAATATTATAGCCAGCATTCTTGGCGTCCGCCATTTTGAGCGTCCGCCATTTTGAGCGCCCGCCATTTTGAGTATCCGCCATTTTGAAGCCACTCGCGAGTAAAATTGCGTCCCAATGAAAGCAATGAAAGCATCCCGTTTGTGAATAGCGAATTATATCGAAAATTTCTACAATTATTTATCTTTTTTGGTATCATTTTACTCCACATCTTCCTTATTTTTTTCTTAATTTAAGTTCTTCCGGATCCCATCAATCAGTTATTTTTTAGTTGAACAACAATTTCAGTGTTGCAAATGTTTGTTTCTTGCTTTTCTTTGAAATAAACTGATGTCTGCACTTCTGTCCATCTGTTCCAAAATTTGATTGTATTCTATATCTTCATTTATTCCTTTATATTTACTTGTAAAGTGATCTTCACTGTCCAATTACACTGAACAAAGTTGACTGAACGTACATACGTCCTTTCAAGTCATTTCCATTCTGTCATATTTTCCGTATTTTTAGTGTTGTTAGAACATTCTTTTTTGAATTCTTGTGTTTTATCATGTTTTTTTAGTAGAACACTTCCGATAAACTTTCCAAGTATCGAAGACGTGATTAAAATCCGACGAATTATGAACTTAAGTTGTGTAAATGAACTTATTTTTTAAAAGAAATGAAGTGATGTTAGAAAGCCATTGCCATGAGATATTAGTTAAACAATTGCGAAATTGTGAATGTAAGGCATTGTGAAATTCCACCATCGAAATACTCATTTATAATACTATCTCTGTTCTTTTCATAAAGAAAGAAAGGGATAGATATTCAATAGTGGAAATCCACAAAGTGTGAAAGTTGCACATACACAGAAAGCTTTACCGAAGACCAAATATATACTAGTTATCGTGTTAACAATTTTTTTAAACTTAAATTAAAACTATTTACAGGATAAAAGACTAAGCTAGGCTATAGCAATCAAAATAATTAGAACATAAAAATTTAGGAAAAATATGCTTTTGGATTGATTATTAACCGTATTTTAATTTTTAAATATCTACCTCATTACTACATAGTTTAAAAAGTGTATAACAAATCAGAATTAGGGACTAGAATTAAATAAAATATTGCAACACGATAACTAGCGCTTCACAATACAAGACATACCTGTAGAAGACGTAATGCTGCAGCATGAAGAATATATCGAAGATCAGGCTGAAGAGACCGAGACCGAACTTGGTGGCATCACCGAAGAAGGAGATCCAGTCGTTGTAGTTGTATGCGATGAGGGTCATCTGCAGGATGGAGAGGGACCCGCCTACAAAGTCCAGGAAGATGTTGCCAATACTCCAGCCGACGGTAGACTTGCGCTTGTAGTTCATATACGCCTGGAATATTTAGTTTTCCACAATTAACATAACTGTTACAACGTAATTGCGCAATCTCGGGAAACATCAGCGTTTGGTACTCCAGCTAGAAGTATCCAGTATTTAAAGCTGACCGAGGACCCAATCAAGCAAGCATTGCAACGCTAATTTTAAATATTCTCTTTTTTTAATTAGTTCAGTTTTTCGTTATTCTGTACTTAATTACATTTTTTGTCAATTCATATCTGTATTGTATTGTTGGTTAGGATCAAACTTTTTTAAAATTATCTATACATTCAGAACTATTGCCTCCTGCCAAATGGCGCGCTATTCTGTCTTAATGACATTGACAGCTGTCAGATAGGGACGTGACGTATATGCCAATTAGGCAGGTGAGATGATGGTGTTGCCCTCCTCAAGCGCAGTACTGATTTTTTCCTTAACATTAGTTAAAGTAATACAGAAGACGAAAGTCGAAGACCCGCTTTCTGTGGTAGTAAAGGTCTATATATCTTACTAATGTTATAAATGCTAAAGTTCTATATATTTAGATGGATGTTAGAATTTGAAGCCTAAACTGCTGACGGATCTCCATGGCATTTGGAACAGATATAAAGGAGAGTCTGGAAGAACACACAGGCTACTTACTTTTGTTTTTTGACCGACTTCCCAAAAGAAGGAGGTACTCAATTCGTCTGTATGTTTTTTTTTTCAATTCCACACAAACGGCGTCGCGGGCGAAAGCTAGAATCTTAAATATTCTTGTTGTCTTCTAAAATATTGGACAAAAGATTCGAGCAATAAATCTGAGTAATTATGAAAAAGTTACCTGGGGCACATATTTAATAAGCGTAATGCAGAGCTTGACATAGCTGCAGATGTAGAGGAAGTCCAGCCAAGCCAGCTCGCCGCCAGCGCCCAGTCCAGCCGTCACCAGCACCACTACCAGGAACGCGCCCAGGATGCAGCGGCCCGTCATTGACACGCGCTGAGACTCGCGCTACGGGTCAACGTTAAATGGACGTCAAATATATCTTACTATCTGTTGCTCGCGACTTCGTCCGCGTGAAATTAATAAATAATGTAAAACACAGCCTATGCAACTGTTAACGTAGCTGTTTAATGGTGGAAGAATATTTTAAATCGGCCCAGTAGAATTTGTGTTATTTCAACATATACAAAATTACAAAAATACAAATCTTTCCTCTTCATACTATTAGTAAAGATAAACACATGTAATTCTGCATCTGAAATAGAATTGTACAATGACTGGGGGCGCAACAGTGCCCCTATAGAAAAGAGCTTAGCCAAATCAATCTTTTTTCGATCCTACTTATGTTTCTTTTGACATCCTCCTAGTGTGAATACAACTAGATTTTATTTAAAACAATTACGTTATAAACTCGAAAGTAAAAAGTTCTGTCATCATTTCTTATAAAAGATCGATTTTCTTCCTACTTTATAAGAATCCCAATTAAATAAAAGTACGGAAGAAGCGAAACGAAATAAACAAGTGAACAAATCACTCCACCAACACAATAAAGAGCCACGTCTCGGTATAATAAAAACATTTCAAACCATTGTTATTTAACTAACATTGAAGACGAGCGACAAAAACTTTGTAATTCACAAACGGCATTACAAAAACTCATCCATTGAACAAAAACGATCTTTAGTATTTTTGTTAAGTATTAAGGACAACTTTGCGTAGATTTCTATAAGGATAAAATACGAGACCGGACAGCCTTGGACGAGTGTAGAATGCAATTACAATAAAGTAGTAAACGTATTATTTAGTTAAAATAAATTACTTCATCTAGGCAATATGCAACTTTATCGATTCTTATATCAATGTCACTTTACATTGAGACGTATCTGAAGAATTTACTATCTTATTTCCTACTTAAAGGCTAATCTAGTCAACTTAAAGTCGTCCAAATCTAATTAAAACTGTGGTATATATGAGGGTATCTTAGTATAATGTACCATCAGTTCACTCATAATAAATAAGTCATGTCCGTGTCTTTTTCCGTACCGCTCCCACACCCTTGGTGTTCAGGACGTCGTAACGCACACAGCTCGCACGTCCAGAGATCAAAACGTTGTTAGGACGTCTACTTCGCGAAACTTTTTTGCGGGTTCACTATTTAAAAAAAATCCTCGTCGCCAATGTAATGTATGGGTGTAATGAAACGGCGGTTGGTACTGGACTAATTTATTATGAGTGAACTGACGGTACATTATACTAAGATACCTTCATATATACCAAATAAAACTTTCAAAAAGGAGGCACTTCTCAATTATGCTTGTTTTTACAGCTTCTTTTCTGCAAAATAAATTTGCTTTTCACTAGCTTTTGCCCGCGACTTCGTCCGCGTGGTATTAAAAGAAGTAAATAGCCTTTGTGTTCTTCCAGACTTTCGTCTAAATGGCAAATTTAATCGAGATTCGTTCAGCAGTTTAGGCTACAAATTCTAACAAACATCCATCACAAATGCGAAAGATTAGATGGATGGATGTTTGTTAGAGTTTGTAGCCTAAACGGCTAAACCGCTTTCGATGAAATTTGATAATGTAGAGGATAGTCTGGAAGAACACATAGGCTAATCACTTTTGTTTTTTTATTCTACGCACGAAGCCGCGGGCAAACGCTAGTTTATATATATTTCTGGTGTTTATTTAATCAGACCATACTTGCGTGTTCTTATATCTAGTTATGCTTTTTTTATCTTCTCTTATTTATGTCAAGAATGGTTTAGATAAACGATGTAAATATATGATGTACATATTATATTTGTTCTATTGTCAGATAAAAAGATAACTATCATGCTTCGTGCTAAGGAAACACTACAATGGTTACATTTTAATATTCTTATTGTTATGAAAATCTTATGTTCAACACAAACATTATTTTTATTATCTTCAAACGTCAATATTTTTTTATCATATATTCCTTTTATTGCAGTTAGTATTTTCAAAGACTAACTTTGGCTATATTCTCTTTACAATGTCGTTTAATGAATTTCAAACTCAAATTCTAAGCAAGCTACCCATCTATACTATAATTTTATAAAGAGAAAAGATTTGTATTTTTTTACGTATTTAAATAACTCAAAAACTACTGACCTGATTTTGAAAATTCATTCGCCATTAAATCTCATTTTCAGTGAGAAACATAGGCTAAGTTTGTTACTTGTTTATTAATTTAAGTCACTAGATTTTTTTTATTTTTTTTAATTGATTACTTTACCTTTGAAATCATAAATAAATTAAAAATACAATAACTTCCACAAGTTCCAAATCGTGTCATATTTCGAAGATCATTTGGGTGTTTAATAACACCCAAATGTTAGAATACCCAAATAGTTGAATAGTAATCTATTCGAATTTGACTTTGTTTACAAGATCTAAAAAGATACGAGAGTATTTTACGGGCTAAAGGTCACACAAAGAGATTCTAAAATATATAAAGAAATAGTTACCACTTCACATGAAGCGATTTTCACGTAACTAACGCTATTGATAGATCCTTGAAACCAATGCTATAATTAATTGTAAGTGTAAGGGTCTGTCCCACCAATGGTTGATAGTGGCTCAGATAGCTTAAAAATGACGTCACTGTCAGATAAGGGAACAAATCCGATGTCTACATCACATATTTTACACGTTGGGCTGTTAGATAATTTACAATTTGGTGGGACAGGCCCTAAATGTTTTATATAACTAGAAGTGATACTACTTACTTCGTACATGAAGCACTGTGTGATGGTAACGAGGGTGGCGAATGCCGCGTGCAGTGAGAAGAACACATCATTCAGCTGTACAGGGTTCACGCTGCGCGGGTGACGGGTTAAGTACTCACTCTGCAAACACAATATAAAAATTATTAACAATGTCACTGCTAGTTACTGAAATCGTATTGGCATTTCATTATCAACCTGCCTACTCTATCAATCATCAAATCTGAAATCAATCCCTTAAGCAAAACCTCTTTCACACAATCCATTCATACTTTCTTCTTTCTTCCTCTACATTTGTAGCCTCCACATGCAATCTTAATACTTATATGTTGGCATTTAAAGTGTTAATGTAACATTTACGCAAATTAATCTTAACTGCGCGAACATCAATAATTTGAAATCATCAAAATAAACATAAATTATTTATAAAACAATAACAATGAAAAATCATCAAAACGGGCAAAGAGATAAAGAAATTCTAATAATTCGATACATAATATAATCAGACAAGATAAGATATAGTCTAAGAGTCAGACGCTTTCAAGGTTTTATCTCATTAAAATGAAGGTAGATAAAATTGGATTATTTTCAACCGTCACCCCGTTCTGTCCCCACGTGAGAATCAAAAGTTTCATCCGTCCCACCTTTTAGTCTCAATATCACCAACATGGTGACAGTACCATTATGAAATAAAATAAGTTCCAACCTTCCCCTGGTCGCGAAAGGTGGGAGTTAGGAAACGTTTTATTCTCATCTGTTCCCACGTGGGGACCGAGCGGGGTGACGGTTGGGAATAATCCGAAAAGTTGTACGTCACAAACCTGTATCTCCGACGAGAAGTACAATCCGCAGTTGAACAAGGAATACAACGTAAAGCCCATTATATTGAGTGCGAGGAAATCAAAGTTCAAACCGACGACACTTTTTCGTTTGTAATTGATGTAGATTTGAGGATAGAAGGAGACAGACCACGCGGCGAAGTAAATCCAACCCATGATGTAGGAGATTACCGAGATAACTTGGGAATGCATGACTGTGATGCGCAGAAACACCTTGCTAAGACTGGAAATAATAATAAAAATATTGACTAACACCAAAACAGTAGAAAACACATAATGTAGCATAGGCAATAGTGGTATATCTCACACCATTCCAACAAGGTTTTTTTTTTATAATATAAGGTCGCAAACGAGTAAGCGGCCACCAATTTCAAACCATTTATTAATTAGACTTAATAAAACTAGCTACGTACCTAAAAATTAATTATAATGTATAAACCACTATAAATATTAAAATGAAATCTTAAATCTGTTACTTTCTCACTCCATAAATATTCAAAAGAAATTTTTGTTACTTCATAAGAAACTTGATTGTAAAATGTAAAATATCACACTATAACTATAAATTTAGATAGAGAAAGGTTCATTAAGACTGTTTCATTGACGTTTTGCAATATACTACGATAAATATAAATCACCGAATATATATAAATTGATAATCAATTGATATCTGATAACATAATTAATTACGTAGCTCTTAAAAGATATAAAAAAGTGAATCGAATTTTTGCATCAGTATTTTTACAGTTAAATCCAAACTTTATGGAAGCTCGGAATTTTACACGAAACATTACACTGAGTTTTAATTATAAGAGAAACGTATATGCGAGAGGAGCACTCTCGTTACTGAAAGTTACTGAATCACTCTGAGTTTTTTTTTTTTTATAATAGCAATTTGCAAAGAGCAAGCGACCACCTGAATATAGGCATACTCATAGACATACGCAATTACAGATGTGTTGTCTACCCTTAATGGACGGAGTAATAAACGCACTTAAATTTTTATTTTTGTTTTCACATAACATTACTTTTCTCTATCAACGGCGGTACATGCATCTAATTTGTTGTAGCTTACGAGCTGCTATAAACTTTGAATCTCAGTATACTTACTCGATAACTCCATCTGGTGTAGCATTGAAAGTGACTTCAGAGTGTCCGGGGCTCTTGCCGTACGCCCAGATGTCGTGTGTGATCTGTACCGTATCATTTGGTAATATCACAGCAGGTATATCTATTGTCGGTGATGGGAATTGAACGATGTCCGAATGCTGAACTTGTGCCGTTATCTTTATGCCCACTTTGAATTCTCCACTGAAATTTGTAATTAGTGCCACTATCAAGCAAATATAACAATCAAAGGTGTCAACACTGGTTAGTTTTATTTCTTATTTAAGCATTCACAATTTATCTGTGCCATTCCCATTTTTGCTCTGTGACAGTTTTTATTATTATCTATGGTATAATCTATGAAGAGGCTTTCGCTTGCCTCTTTGGAACCAACCTTGCGACATCGCGGAAGCAATTTTGGCAATAAGTTATAATTGTACCATATTTTTGCATTAAAATTAAAAGTTTAATACAAAAAAAAAACTTTTCATTCCTTGTTCTGCAACAGTAAGGGCTGTAAAACTTTTATGTATAACCTCAAATAAAAATGGCACAACATCCAGTCTAAATCTTTAGTAAACCAGATCATGTGAAATAGTGTAAATTAACTATTCTTAAAAACACAAACTTACATTTGTATCATATGGAAGAGTCGATTTTCATCGACCAGTATATTCAGATCTGTTGAATCTAGATATATTCTGTCTGTCCCATATGCGCTCGGTAGACCTAAAGCAATACATAATATATGAAGAAACAAATCACAAATTTAATGTTCATTACAGATTTACGTCTCTTATCAGGACAAGCAGTTAAATCTATTTGACATGTTAATTACGCCAAAGCCGTTAATGCTCGCCACTAATGAAAACGCATCGAATAATAATTGCCAGTTAAAAAGAAAATAAGCATGTTAAAAAATGCTAGCGTATTGTACTTCGCGATATTGTAATTTTTATACTTTGAATAGGAAAATTTTATGTGCCTTTATACGTTAACAAAACAATTTTTTTTATATAATATTAATGCAATTTATGTTTTAGATATCCCAAAAACGCTTACCTAAAACCAACATGATCGTGGTCAATCGTAACAAACAGTATTTTAGACTATGACTAGACGTTCCCGCTGCGCCGCTTGCTACTTTTGATGTACTGTGGTGTGCCATTTTGGATTTTAATTGCTGCTACTCTGTGGACAAAGGAAAACGGGATTCTTAAATCTAGATTTTCAATATAAGATAAGTAAATTAGTGGCTGTTTGGATTTATTTAAATAAATATCAACAAAGATACCGTGAATTTTCCATTTTTAAATAACAAAACGAAAAATTACGAGGCATGTAATCTTCATAGTTTTTACGACAGAAATCAAACTCCGATAACAGTAACGAACGCGTATTTATTGCCGCAAAATAAATTGGGGAAATCGAAGAAAATCTTATTAAACATGAATACATACATATTCCTGTAATATCACATCTGTATTAAAGAATCATCAATCAAGAAACATCAATAACAATCTTACTAATCTTACTAATATAAATACGAAAGTTTAGATGGATGGATGGATATTTGTTAGCGTTTGGAGCCTAAACGGCTGAACGGATCTTCATAAAATTTGGCTCATATTTACAGCGTAGTCTGGAAGAACAAATAGGCTAATTTTTATCCTGGGAATAGTTACGGTTCCCTTGGGATTTATTAATTTAGTTTTATAATGTTTACTCGATTATTCTGCAACGGTTCAAAATATCTTATTGAAATTTGGCACAGATATAAAACAAATTCTGGAGTACACATGGGATAAGCTTCATGCCCGAGAAATGTCCAGTTCCCGAGGGATACGAAGCGTTTTGTAATTTATATAGTTAGTATGTTTTCTAATACCACGCGAAGTTGCGGGCAACAGCTCGTAATTTACTAAATGTGGAATCACATTTCCTGGTTGCATATGCCTTGAAAGTAACATCAACAGGAATAATTTTAATACCCATGTATTCTTGCCAAGATTCAAACTAAAATTACTGATTATTTATTAAGGTCCTACAAAATATGAAACTAAATTATTAACATATGTAAATATTGAGACACGTATTACTATTATCTATACTATTGTAATAAAGCGTAAACACACACTTTGTTGCCTAAGATATCAGCAATTTCAGCATATTTTTAAATAATCCTTTTTTCAATAAAAAAAACCCTACACTTACGTCACGCTTTAGGCTTTATATTTTCACGACATTAAACTTAGGGTGTAAATATTGTGGATAAAATCCCTAATGTGGAAAAGAGACCATAAATTGCTGCCAACATCAAGAAAGCAAGATTGCAAAGGTTTATCATGTCATGTCATTTGCTATTGATAATTTGACAAATGTAAACAATGAAATAAAATTTTCATAATTTGATCCGGATGAAGTCGCACGGGAACCGCTAGTAACCGATAAAGCTTAGATGGTTGTATCGATGGTTCACCACCTAACTCCAGATAGAACGGAACAGAATGAAAGGTACAGATATATATTCTGAAGTAGCGCTTAGATTTCCTTCCACACTCATAGTCATTAAGGTGGATTTAATTTAAAAAATCTTCGCAGAGTAAACGTTAGGTGTCTATTAAAGGTCTATAAGATTGGCAGTTACGTTTTATTTCACGCAGACAAAGTCAGGAGCGACAGCTAGTCTACTATAAACGAATATAGTCAAAATTTACATTAGTTACTTCAGTTTGACGAAGCTAATATATGATAAACGAGGTTGTACAACTTCATAGCTAATTGTATTTGAATACGACCCATAACAAAACACGTGGCATTAAAATGAACATTTCATTGACTACTTTTGCTCGTATATTATGAAAAACAAATGCTTGTATATCATTTTAAAACATCCTTAACTATAACACAATCACATAAAGTAAAATACATGTACGTGTTAAGTACGACTTTTAAAACATCGTCTAAAGAAACGACGCAATGTACTCGTATAGTACATTTATTGACATTGACAGAACTAAGAGCCAAAAAGCGGAAAGTTTCTCTACAAATATTAAATCCAATATGATTATTAATGATTGGATTACATAATACTGCCCTAACTGGTTATGTACTTTTAGTAACGCGGAATTAAAACATTAAAAACTGATCGACACAAAACCCAAGATAAACCTAAACCATCCAAGTTTAACTTCTTCATTTTAAATGACCTGAAAAACATCTATACTAATAAAATAAAGAGGAAATATTAGTTTTTTTTGATTTATTTATGTATTGAAAATGAAAAAAAAAACTACTGGGCCGATTCTAAACATTCTTTCACCGATAAAAAGGTAATTTATCTGTAAGTAACATAGGCTATCTTATTAAAATTATAAATGTCTACAAAGATGGATGGATGGATGTTTGTCAGAGTTTGTAGCCTAAACGGCTAAACGGATCACGATGAAATTTGATACAGATGTAAAGGTCTGGAAGAAAACATAACCTACTCACTTTTGTTCTTTCTACTTCCATGCGAACGAAATCGCGGGCGAAAGCTAGTATTTTTATAATTTTAAGTCGCGAGCAACAGTTAGTATTTTATACAATTATGTATATAAAACTATAACAACTAGTATCGCTTGTGTGAAAAGGTTTTAATCGGTTAACCGGTACATCCACGGCCACAAATGGCAATGAGATCGGTGAACTTGCCGCGTGAATGTAAAACGAACTAACATACATACATCGTATAGAATAACCTCTTTAATAAATACAGAACCGTTTGTACTCTTGCTTATGATGAGAGTTTATTTAGAGATAGTAAAAATAATTCTGTTAACTTATTAATATTACTTAGGGCCTGTTTCATATTCAAATTGTCTGATATCAGTCCAACGTGTAAAATTTGTGATGGAAATATCGGATTTTGTTCCCTTATCTGACAGTGACGTCATTTTTAAACTATCTGAGCCTCTATCAGCCAGTGGTGGGAAATGTCCTTAAAATTATATTTATAATATTTAATTAAATCTTTACTAAAAGTTAACGGTGTTGTTGTAGTAAACTTGAAGTTCTACTACGAATTAGTCACAAAGTTAAAAAAAAGTTGTAATTAACACTTAAAACAGTTCTTAAAATCCTGCGGCCGCGGGGGCTGCGGGATGGATATGGTTCGCCCTGTTCTCTCGCAGCTCTCG